TATGAAGTTCAATCTGCTTTACCGTCATTCGTACTGTCAGCCATTTTTCCCAGAAGAAATGATTTTACTTTAAGTTCAGTAGAAAAAAGTATTAGGTTTTCCATGCAGTGAGAATTGTAGAATCAAGAAGAAATTTGTTAAGAAACTGTTTTTCTCGGTCTTTCAATCGATATCACAAAGACAACTGATATCATTTGTGGTGCAAAAGGAAGGCGGATTCGCAGGTAGTTTTAAGTTGTGTATGTTTCAGCAAACTGTAAAAACTGTCGTAGGGCACTTCAAGGCACTTCATTGCAAGTATAAGCACGCAAGAACTTATGTAGAAGTTTTACAGCTGTCATTACTGATGTGGCTGGCAGAATTAGCATCAAGCGTGTAAATCAACGTATGGTCTCAAAATCAAACAAATGGTTCAGATGCCCTCAGGTTTCAACAGAAATAAAGAATAAAAGCTTCTAGTAGTTTACAGTTTATGGTAATGAGCTGAACCTAGCCATACATTTGTTTTCTTTTTTATCTTTTCCTGTGAGATTGCAGAAACCCGACTTGAGCTGATCAGATAAATTAGAGATTGTTCATCCTTCGATGGAAACCTGTGAATTGCCATGGTTTGCCAAGATTGTTTACTGTATCTATGATCAAAGCATTTCCGAGCACTGATTGCAGCCGTAAACTTTCTGAGGGGAATCGTTATGCTCATGCACTTGGACATTTTCATGATTACAAATATCTGAGAGAACTTTGTGGTTCAGCGGCTACTTCTCCGTTTCAGACATCGCAGCTGCGATGGTTTGGGAAAGTCTTGCAAATGATTCCAGATGGTCACGGTGGTTTTCAGCATCGTTTGTGGCAGCCTTGCAAGCCTACAGGTTGCTCAAGACTCATAATTACATAATTCTTCCAGAAAGGCAAGCGAAACAGCTGTTGCTTGCCTAGCCGAAAAGCCGAAGATCCCGGGGACGGCCATGAGTAGCTTGGGACAAGCGTATAGAATGACTCTGAGG